AATGAGCAGTAAGTGCTCTGAATGTGCCCACCCCAGGCAGCAAACCAGCAGATGTGCTGCTGTGTTTGTCGGAGTCCGTGTGCCCTGGCCCCAGAACAGCAGGAGGAGTCACGGACCCCTCTGCCAAGGGTCTGTTTGCAGCTAAGCGTGGCCTGTGCTGGAGCACTCCCTGTACCGAGCCCRTGCTCGTCACCATGTTTGCCTGGAGCACCCCATCGTGTCTTGTGCTGCACGGGCTGTGCCGCTCGCCATCCAGCCATTTCATTACACATTATTCTGTTTAAACACAGGCTGTTAGCTTTTCATGCTGCTCGTGCTGTCTCTGCAGAGCCTGCTCCCTGGGGGGTTAGGCATATCATAGGAATTGCCTTTGCTTTACATCACTTCTCATTTCGTATTCAGCATCACGCATTGCCCCATCGTCTGCAAAGGCAGAGACTTACACAGGCCCAGATGCTGCTGTGGCACCGTTTTTACACCACTACCACTCAAAACATCACACTCAAAACCTTAAGCTCAGGCAAAACAACCTCAGCAGGCGTCAGAGTCAGGGCTGGGGCACCCTGAGCACGACCCTTCCACATCCACAGGTGAGGGTGACTCATGTGGAGATGTGGGGCCAGCCTGGACAGCCACTCTTGGTCACAGCCAGCAYAGCAAACTCACAGGTACACAAGGACTTTGCTGCTTGCATGGCTGCCACAGCTCCCCCTCAGCAATGAGCATCACCAGCAGACACCTGGCTCTTTCCTCAAAGTGCCACCTTTCTTATAAGAGAAATTTAGGGAGCTGAGAGTTCAGCATCAAATCATTATTTGAAGTCCCAGCTTTCAAGCACCTAAGGACCATCCTGCACTTTAATCTCTCCCATGCTGCGCAGTGACACAAAAGCAACATGACTTGCTGCCCGAGCACACCGATCCCTCCCAACTTACCCGAAAGGCTTCAAGGAGGAAAGCAGCATTTCTGRGGCAGCTGTGGCTGGCATTTTCCCTCCCTCCCTTCCCAAGTCACAAGGATGGCCAGCCCAGGCASAGCCCCACTGGTGCTCTGGGCCTGAGCATTTACTGTCCATAAAAGYGACAGATTCATTCGCTCTTCCCCTTCACCAAGCAATGAGATAAGAGCAGCGGTCAGTGTCAAGTGCCCCCAACAACAACCACAGYTGGCATTGGGATTGCTGAGGTAAAGAATTTGTTCATTCAGCAAATGTATTATCAATCAGCACAGGTCAAGCGCTGGAAAAATAAATTTTCAAAGGGGAATGCTTTTACTGTTCAAGCCTTATTATTTCTTCACATACACAGAGATAGCCAGAGGATCCCATCAAGAGTCTTCAAAAGCATAAAAGAGGCTCTTAAGCCTCTTTGCTATTTGCTATTCTTTGTCATTTGCTTTAGAAAGGGGAGAGATAATTAAAACTTCTCTGAGAGCTCTGAGCATCAGATGGGCTGCAATACCCATTGTGCTGGAGATACAGAGGAAGAGACAAGCCTTTCCCCACCACAGAGAGCTTCAATTCTACCAGACAGCAGGTCCGTGCTCCTCTCCCGAGCATAGGGCAGGGTCAGGGCACATATGGGACTGAGGAGCCCATCCGCAGCAGCCCAGGAGGTCACACTGGATCTCAGCTTCCTGCAGGGCTGTTACCTGACACAGGGAACTAGCACACAGTCACAGGCCTTAATATCTGTGCCCAGGCTGCAAGGCTTGGCAGGTCTGTCTTCCTTGTTCAAAGGAGTTGAGGAGGTTGAGTAGCTCTATCCCAGATGTACTTGGAGATGGAAACAAGATCAGCAATGAGCAATGATGTGGATCTCCTCGCCAGACTCTTACAYACAACTAAAGCCTTTGAAGGAAGTGTGCCAGGCAGCCAAAGAGTTCTGGAAACAATCAGTGTTTTACACATTCCCCTAAACCTGGAAAACCTCCCAGTGAACACACTGCTGTGAGCCCCAAGTAACATGCACACATCCCTTGACAAACCATGGTCATTGGGGATTCGACTGCCAGCACAAAACAGAGCTTTGMCATTGAAGATGATCCCCAAAACTCATGCTGAAGAGAAGACAGAGACTATGTACAGAGAGAGGGACATATGTGGCTTCTTTATTGGCTTTAATTCAGAAAAGTGAGCTCTTTTCAGTATTTAGATAGGCACCTACATTGCCAAATTAGGTCATTCTTAGTGATGGGATTCCCATACCTAAACACAAATGCACTTTTTTCAAGAGTCTGTCCTAACTCAATACATTTAGGACATGTTAAGGTGTGGGTCCCRCAGCAGACTTATTCCTCTTCCCCTTCGTCTTCCATGCAGCTGTTCCCAAAGCCAGCTATTTTAGTGTAAATACCCCTAACACATAAAAGCAGCAATCAAGTTTAAAAACCTCAAATGACATTTCAATTTATCTTTCCTAACTGTGGATGTAAATTTACTTTAAAAGGAGTCTCAGGAAGTCCCAGACACCCACTCAATAAACTGCAGCCTTTACAGTCTCAAGCTGAGAACCCGAGAAGTTGAGACAGAAAGGAGCCTTGAGCACTGCGCTAAGCAGACATCTGATAAAACAGAAAATGTATCAAGATCCCCACACACTAAGTGGAATTTGGGTAGAGTTCCTTGTTTTTAAGGAGTTATATTTTTTAAATTAAAATCATTTGGTATTACTTCAGCTACACAAAGTATTCACATTATATGCCCTGCTTAAATTAGTTTGGCCAAGCTAGTAAATCTGATAATTCAGTACTGGATGTAACTGATTAGATTTGCTGTATGATACACTAATCTGATCGAGCAGTCTCAAAGGACTTGAGTTGTTAGCATTTCAAAAGGCATAGCAAGTTTTTGAAGAATTGATTACATATTTCTTTCAAGCTCATATTTGTTGATTCATTAAATGTAAAGATAAAGCAGATGTTTTACAGAGACTTGTGTCATATTGGTGTTCGTTTTCTATTAATCAGTTTTCAGGAATCCCACCTTTGACAAGCAGCTSAGCTGAAAGCAACTGCATTGAAGCAAAAGCTTTAGGAATAGCTGARGGATATTGCCTCCAAAATTCAAGTCTAGAATTCACTGAAATAGCAATTTCCTCTGACACTCAACCCCAAGACCAAGTTCATCTCATTTATTYCTCCTCGATTTCCTGTCTCTAGCCCATCCACCTCTCCAAGCATAGTTTTATCACATGCACTCTCAGTTCTGCTAGAAAATATGACAACATTACTTACATCAGAATCTCCAGAAATAGAAACATTAGCTCAATCAAACAACTCCAACACAACCACAAACTAATCTGACACTGATATTTTTCACGCTGCCCACTAAGGCGATTTGCAAGCTGACATTTGCTAGCCCCATTAAGTACCAGATGGTAACACCTCCTTCACTATTATTTTAATTGTTCCCAGGGAGGTGGCTTGCTCATTTGCCTGCGTCTCAAGAGGACATTCTCCATGGGTTATTTCTGCTTTGCTCTTGTTCTGTCTGGGAGTGAGCTATTCAGAGGTTCAAATTCCTGTGAACAAACTTTACTGAGTTCAGTTGGGAAAGGTCACACATTTATTGCTAGATCCTTTCCTCTGAGCTCCATGTAAAAAAGATCCAGGGCTGCAAAATTATGTGCACCATGGTGGGCAGGTCAGGAGCCTCACCTGTATCTGAACACACATCTAAACTGCACAAGGCTACAAAGAGAAATTCAAACCAGCTAAACAGAGACCAGAAGCTCTCCAACTAGAGCAGTACCAAGCAGGGAGGAGGCACCAGCTCACCCTTGGAGGGAGAAGGAAAAGGCAGCCCTCTGGAGCAGTATCTTGCCACATCTGGGCTGCTCCTGGATCCTCTAATAAGATTTGAAGAACGTGGACCAAAAGAGGTCAGGAAGAAGCAAGTGCTTCTTCCTATCTGGTTCAATTAAACATGCAGTCTCTTTCTTCTGCCAGAGCTGGGTGGAATTTATTCTCCAGACAACCCTTACTAGTCCATGCACAGCTATCCTCTGTCTGGAGCTCTCCTCTATTAACAACTCAGCACTCCCAAGCTACCACAAAGCCACCAAGCAGGAAGCTTGCAGGGAAAGGGCAGGCAGCAAGAGCCCCATTTCAGCACTGCTCCCTCTACTCTACTCTGAACTGGGGGGTGACACCAGAGTGGCCCCATCCTCAAAGGTATTGCCTTCTGCAAGACATGTGAAATGCAAGTATAATCTCCTCTTTTAGTGAGCAAGGTTGCTGATTTTCATAGCCTCTATAAATCTGACCACAAACTGCAAAACATTCTTACATCAACTCTTTAAACCTGCAGCTTTAAACMAGATCCATAAGGTATTTCTGTCTAAGGTTTTCTTAAGCACACCTACCTCAGATATGGCTGAGTTTTGTCTGTACCCTATTCCAGTAACAACCATTCTCCGGTTAAATTAGATAATAAAGTTGGAATGACTCCTACATTTCATACTCTTCCATGTTACTCTTTTTAACTAAGCTTTGAATTAATTTGTCTAGAAAGAAAATTCTGAATGGAAATCATGTGTTATAGTCACTCCATTTTCAAACCATCTGGAAGTAAATCACAGAGAAACTTGGGACGAAAATACGTGGCTATTACTAATTATGGTACACAGCACTATTTTCAACCACCTGCTAGCAGTAGCAAACATTACACAAGAATTAAGCTTGATAAGCTTGGTGAATAATATTTAGACCATTTTCTTCAGCTTGGAGATGATCTAGGAGCAGATATCCTTCCCTTCACAACAATCTAGCTTGTTATTTGAAATTAGTCACAATGGTTTTGGTGACTAAGTCCTGATCTGGAACATGTTTATGAGCACTACATTGTAAGTGTGTGAGATTTGAAATTCAAACGTCTGCTGTGGAGTTTGGATTTGATGCACAGCTCAATGACTGTGACTATTCTGACTAGAAAAGAGCAATACAAAATCACCACTGCAAACTCAAAGCTCAATTTCCACTGATTTTTGATAGGTACTCACAGTTTGCTGCATCTTGCTCTTCTGCAGACCACTCAAAGACAGCACACAGAAAGGGTGAAACATTAAGGAAGTTTGTGGGCAGGAGGATGAAGTCAGGAAGATGAAGGATCGCCCAGGTTCACTGCCATTCCTGAAGATGTTCCTCCAAAGCCAAAAACACWAACACAGCTATTCCTAGCAGTGCTTCCAAACAGGTTTGTGTCTTGAATCAAGGTGATGTGAACCCTCTGGAGCACCTGTGGACAAAGCAGAGACCTTCTGAAAACAGCTCCTCTCATGACTGTTCATCTCACAGCCTTCTTCCTGCAGTTACATTAGCTTTAGGCAGAGGAATGCCCTCATAAGAGAAAGCACTTGAGTACATACACTCTTTAGTGCATAGTGGTCCAAGCTTCTTTACACTTCTCCGAACTTTTAAGTTCTATAACTTATAACTTCATTTTAAAGCTGAATGGGCTTGGGAGCAAGGCATACAGAAGCAAGGTGCATTCACACGGCAGAGAGCACACTGAGGTCAAAAAGGAGTATTTCTGCAATCCCCAAAGCTGTTGGGGACCAGGACCACATTTAAGAAGGGGTTCAACACCATGGCCTAAAGGAGACTGCATTCTCCCCTCCACCATAAACCTCTTCCAGGGACAGGCAGCCCCTTTGCCGCCTCCTCTCAGTTCCATCCAGCTCCATGCAACAAGAACCTTTTGTCTTGCCTTTTGCATTTCTAGACTTATCTTTTTCCTCTTGGGCAGTCTTTGTTAAGGGCTCTCTGTGAAGCTCTAGCAGAAACATTTCAGGACAGCATTGCTAACGGGACAAAGGCCACTACAGCTTCTGTAGGCTGCCCCCTGGTTTTGCAGCAGTTTGCTCTGGGTCAGGAGGCAGCCAGAGCAGGGAAGGTGACACAGGAGCAGCTGTGACCACAGGCAGGCAGTGCTACCACCCAGACTGCAGCCCCACAGGCTCCTAACACAGCAGGCAGAGCTGGGACCAAGCTGCATCAACAGCCCCAGGCAAGGAAAGCAATGAACCAGATTTGGTGACCATCTACAGAGCCTAGTCAGGAGCAACAGGTCCAGAGACAGGGCTAGAACATGGTTCCAACCTCCATCCAAGAGACAAGACCAAAGCCAGGACAAGCAAGAGCAGCTTACCAGGAAAGCTGTCCAGGAAACAGGCACCCCTGGAGCACAGATTCAAGGCCAGGACAGAGGCAACTCCAGCAAAAGCCAAGCAGGTCTGAAGGCCGGGCTTAAATGCAGCTGCTGAGCCCACTGGCAGAGGGTGTGGGGAGGTCTCAGGTGAGGCAGGTTTTAAGGCAATTAAGGCCTCTTGGTGCTCTCAGGCTTCTCCCACCTTGCCTCTGTCAAGAAAGCACTACCACCAACCCTCCCAACACCTTTCTTCTGATCACGGGCTATAACCTCACCTATCCACCTCAAAATGCCATCTGCTTTGCAATCCCAACCTCCTCCCTCCCCACAAAACACACACATTAAACTGTGATGTCTGTACAAGCTTAGGAAGTTTCAGAAGGGAAGTTCATATGCCAATTTATGGCATATGGCTCTGCACATGACAGTCAAGCCCCAGTTAAATCCTCTCTGCCCAAAAGACTAGACTTGTGAGCAGATCCTGCAGCCGAGGCAGAGAAACTGAGAGTGGAGCTTGTGCTGTGCAGAAGCCAACGTCCTGCTTTGTGACCCCGTGGCCRTCACAGAAACTCCACTTTATCACCTACGACCGTCTAGTCTGGCAACATGTTGTCAGAGCACTGGAGCAGAGCTGCTGGAAGGCTAAGCTGCTGCTCCTTCCGAGGGTTTTTGCCTTGGCAGAACAGGCCACAGGCCTCATATGCTTCACGTTCACTCTCCTAGCGTGTGGTAGATATTGGTCACGATAATGTCAAATGCTACAGAGCTGCTTACAAACTACAGGCACCCATTGGCTTCRGGTGCATCTTCACATGCTCCCTCTGGCCTCTCATGTATGCTCTGAAGGAAGCAGCCTATTCCTGCAGGCAGGGAGGAGGGAGAAGCAACAAGGGTGTGCCTCCATGCAGGGACTGTATCTTGCAGGCGCAGATTTCTGGAAGGAGCCTGCAGCTATAGATGGATTTACAAAAATAATAAAATAAGTTACTGGACAACATTTCCTGGCTTATATTTTGCAGAAGATCTGTAGTGCCCTGAAGAGATGATAAATGAAACCTTTCAGAAAGAGCCCGCACCTTTAATACAACAGCAGGATGCTGAGCAGTGGATGAAACCACTTGTGAGGCAACTAGAGCAACCTGCCCCCCAGACTTAACCATACCCTGTGCAACGGGTTGGACCTGACGCTTAAATTTCAGTCCAGTTCTCTTATAAAGCTGGTGATTTATAGGGGATGGGACAAGCTGATCATAACAGTCCCTCCTGCTTTGCAAATTCATGGATTTTTCATTGTAGCAACTACTCGAACTGTTATGGTCTGCTGGCTCCCTGTCACGGATACTTCAAAGCATGTCCACATGCTCTCTAACCAATATTAAACTTAATTAAAACTCCAGAAAAGATTCAAAAGATTTTTTTTGTCCTACTAATTATGATTAAAGTACTTTTCACAACTTGCTAGCAGCATTTTCTTCATTAGTGCAGCAATTCTACTCATTAGTTTTCATCTGCAAGTCAGGTTCGTTTACACCAGCACTTGAGTTTGCATTGTAAAAATAAACGAGAGGAGAAAGATCAACCAGGCTGCTCCTTCCAATGAAAAGTAATCTTGCAGATTCTACTCAGGAGGTGGATTCAGTCATACAGTCCCAATTTATAACTTGTGTGGAATTCTATCTGATTTCTAGATTAAATTGAATTACAAATTTAACCGAATAAGACAGGACCAGACAGTATGATGGAAGAGTTTTGTCTTTATGATAAAGAGTGGAGGGGGAAATACCCTGAAAGATAAGATAGCTGAATGCACCAGCGGTTTTCAGATTTACTCACAGTGCCTGCCTGTTTCTTCTCCCAGCATACGAAATAGTCAGGTCATTGTGAGCTGGTGTCTGCAGCCGCTAGAGCCCAACTCGGAGCCAGGAGCAGGTCCAGGAGACCACAGTCCATCCCGTCTGCCACCTATCCCTAAACCCAGCAGAGACAGCTGAGCACAGCCTGGAAATATAACTGCCTGTGAAGCGGTGCAGCTGAAAGTTCTCCAGGAACATCTGATTAAACCCAAAGTGCAGAGGGGGAAGATGCACCCTAGATCAATGGAAACTAGCTCAAGAGAAGACATATTGATTTGATGTCGAGGCCAGAGAATGAGTTACACGGGCTGAGACTCACTGCCGTTCCTGCAATGGCCCAGCACAAATGCAGAGCACTTGGCTGCTTCCTGGGCAATGCGACCAGGAGAGGCGAAACTTCTKCCTTCCTCTGCACGACCCCCTTATCCCCAATCATAATTCACCGTATCTCCTTTACCAAGAAAAACTGTCTTTAATGGAGCCTAAAACAGACTAGTTATTTTAAGAAGAAAATAAAGGAAAATATAAATAAAAGGAAATAAAGTGCTGCATCTGCACAGCAAGGGGCTCTGACAGCAGGAGCTTTMCTGGCAGTAGCCAGTGCCTGCCACYGAACGGAGAATAAATGGGAAGGCATAAAACCCCAGAGGTGGAAGGGCTCTGGCACTAGGACTGTAAATCTGGAGCCTCTTGCCTTGCTGGTCCCAGGAAGAAGGAAGGAGGAGACGGGACTCAGCAAGGCTGCAGAGGGAGAGCAGGGTGAAGAGACCTTCACCTTGGGATGAAGGCTGGATCCAGGCGGTCGCAGGGATTTTCTCCTGAGCAGCAGTGGGGACAGGAGCTGGGGGGCATTTCTGGTCCTGCTCAGTTTCCTGGTGACATGTGTCTGCCGTTAGCACCACTGCAATGAAGGAGAAACTGGGACCTGCTCTGCCCCATCCCAGGCAGTCCTGTCACCTGCTGCCTGTACCCAGGGGAAGGAGGAGCCAGACAGCAGCACCACTGACTTTAAATAAACACCACTTTGCTTAAAGCATTAGAAAGGGATATATATATATAATTCTCTTTTCCTTTTCTTTTGATCTTTTGGTCCACTTTGTTCTCTTTTTATGCCKGTAAAAAAGCTGCTTTATTGCCTCGTTTGCTACTTTCCGTTTCTCTGTGAAAACTAAACCTTGCCCTGGAACATCTCCCCCACTCTTGGGGTGCGTTTCACACTGTAAAGGTGGCGACACGGCCAAGCACGCTGGGTACCACAACCTCGGGCAAGGTCCTCCTYGCACAACCTGCCCTGTAAACTGCAGACTCCAGTGCAAGGGCCTCGGTGGGGGACGGAGAGGGAGGGGGAAGAGGTTTATCTGATTTTTGGTTGAGCTGCTGCCTCAAGAATATTGACCTGGGGAGTCAGCAGCAGCACAGCCCACTCTGGCTGAAGTGAGCAAAAGGCAGAGCAGAGGAGCGGTGAYTTCAGGAGCAAAGAAAGGCTGAAAAGCAGGCTGGCTTGTCACAGCCCCTGCCATGCAGAGCCAGGAGCTCCACAGGCTCACGGAGATGCTGCAAGCAATGCCACCACAGGCTGTGGGCCAGGGGGAAGCACAGGGCCTCGTGGCAGGGCAAGGATTTCCAGCAAGGAAGGAGAATCAGACTCCGACTTTGTCTGTAGGAACTGTCCCCAGCTCATTCGATTCCTCCTTTGGAGCTGCCCCTGTGGTAAGTGGGCAGGTGCCCTGCAGCGCATCCCGCCGCCCTGCCAGCCGGTCTTTGCCTGACGAGCCCCTGAAACGCCCCTGACGAGCCCCTGAAACGCAGGGCAGGACAGTCCCACCGGAGAGCTCCAGTAGCTCTGCAGCACAAATCACTTCTCTAAAGCACATGTGGGGATGGGGGGAGGTAGGAGCCATCGACCACACAACAGGAAGCCCTGAGGAAGACAGGAGCACTGCTGGTGCCACCAGCTCCGAGGACAACTGTATCCTCCCCACAGGAGAGCAACCGCTGAGGACAGATCTCTGCAGATCAGCTCAGCAAGCACCTAGGACTGTCCCCCTGCTCCTGCTTTCCCAGCTGCTGCCCCTCTCCCAGCTGTCCAGGGCCTACAGCCACCCCACAGGGCCACCCTGTCCCACCAGACTAGAAGTTTGGATAGAGTTTTCTGAGGAACCAGCTGTTTTGTACAATGCACATGAGCCTGGRTTGTGCGTGGAACAGCACAAATAAAGTTACAGATCTGTATTTTATGTGCACATCATGCACCTTAAGCAAATGTTCTATAACCAGTGGAGACTCCTCAGCTATGATCATTTGCAGATARAGACCAAGTGATTGGGATCCGTCCCTAAAAACACATGGTCAGAGACAAGCATCCAGTTAAAACTCGCTTTTTTAAAGTCATTAGGTCCTCAGAAATACTTCTTAATACAAATCTAGTTTTTTCCAGGGCTCAACACATAAAGGGCTTTCAAAAAGTTAAAAAGACTAGGGGGAAAAAAAAAAAGTTCATCAGAACAATTTGTTCTCGGGCAGAATTGCGCTCGTGCCACTGGAACATCCAGATTTCATTAGCACAAGTCCCCGCTCAGTTAAGAGCAGAGCTGACCACCAATCCATAAACCACATCTCCGTGCTCTAAAGACAGTAACAAAACCTGTGGAGTCTATGAGCCRCAAACATTAAATTGCATATATTGTTTATTTAAAAGCATCATAAGGTGCTCATTTGTGTGACTAACAACCTGCTCAGTGCCATAATCAGATGAAAAGCCCGGATCTCTGCTGACCCCAAAACACTTAAAACAATCAGTAACAGCTAAATAAGAACGATCCTCCACTTTACTTTCCATTTTACCTTTCCATAGAGCTTTCTCTCCACTGCAATGCCCAAGCAAGATGACATAACTCTTTTCAGGACCTTGAAAGCATTTTCACAGACCTATTTTTGAAATAGATTAAAGTCACCTTGTTGACTCTGTCTTCTCGGCTTCCTCAGATGGCCACTACCAAGAATATGACTTCACTTCTGGGAGGGATTTGATGGTTTATGCAAGATCCACAGTGCACAGAAAAGATGTGCGGAGCAAACAGGAGCCCATCTCGTGTCCTGAGCTTTACTGCAAGGACTGACCTGGGGATTTAACTAGGGGTTTCTTGACCCTGGCAAAGTATGCAGAAAAAAAAAAGGGGGACTCATTTTAGGAAGCATCCTCATCAGCAACAAAA